CGGTGCGTCACGCCCACATGCATGCCGCCCGCGCCGTGCGTCGAGCAAACCAAACGACCGCTCACATAGTGGGGTCAGTGATCATAGTCGAGATGAGTACAGAATGTCTGCTCGCATACTATACGCTAGGAATATTCTGGAAAGACTGTAGCCAAATAAATATGCCGGTGGGGACAAGCTGAAGGACGACTCCGACGACTCAGCAGACCCCACACGCCACACAGTCTTTGTGTACTGCTGGATACAGACATCGCCTATCAGAACCACTCTCTTGCCTTCTTCTGCCTATTAGTCGGGTTAGAATTACTGGGTTATAACATTGCCACATAAAACGCTTGTACGGCTTGTAAGGCTCCCCTCGCCCAGGATGAGCCGAACATGTTTGTTCTCGCGCCCGGCGAAACAGACACCCCATTACGCATCTCTCTCTCTCTCTCTCTCTCTCTCTCTCTCTCTCTCTCTCTCTCCGTATGAGCATTAAAAAAATCCAAGAACGTACGCTTGTTGAACTTGACTTCTTCAATACCTATACTTGCATTATCGTTGAACTTGGCAATAAAGGGTTTAAAATATGTGAGACTGAAATACATTCACTAGCCTTTCCCCACCCCTCTGTCTGATTACAACCCGAAGACCGTACTGTATCCCCTGCACGCGACAGCCGCAAACATTTCTCCAGAGTAATCTTTTAAGATCTGCGATAACGGCGCAAATCAGACCAATAAACCCACTATGTTACAGGAACCGCATCTCCTTCTTTTTCTACTGAACTGCTTCCTGGAACTTGTCTGCTCGCTCCTATCAAAAGCAACCCTAGCAACCCCCCTCCCCCCAAATAATGTTACAGAGACGGGAACCGCGATGCGCCCACGTGGGAAGATACCGGGGAAACGGGGCCAACACGGACCATGCCGACTGAGTCATACGCGTGCGCTGTTGTTTCGAGCACACGTTACGACCGCTCACATGTACGACGCAAATATTCCAGAACTTCGGTCAGGGCCCACATTAGGTTGTTTAAATGATTATTCGTATGGTTTTTTACTTTCATAGGTTCTTTTTTTTAAATTATGTTTCCTCTTCCCTGCTATGAGCCATCCAGTTAACCCCTCTTAATACCAGTCCAGCATTACAAAAACGTGGGTCTTTTGTTACTGTTATGCTATTTATAAGGAATCCTTACCGTCCCGCCTAACTAAGACGTGCATAGTTTCAAATGGATAATTTTCGGGTAAACAGTCAAATCGCAGTTGAATCATTGTGATCCCAAAAAGAATGGGACGAACATACTGCCGAGAGCGTTATTTCAATGAACGAAAAGCAAACGCAGACGCCTAGCCGCTGAATAGTAGCTACCATCTGCGTAATTACGAATTTCAAGGTGTAGGAGTGCTTATTTTTTCCATTTCGGACTGCGAGATCCCCTTTAGGCATCCGGTTTATTCTTATCGCTCAAATCAAACTAATAAGAACAAGTATTTGCTGTTTAAATCTGCTAAACAACAATACTACTTAGAAGTCAGGTCGGGAAATCACGAGTAAAATTGAAATTATGACATCTACAAGGTCATCAACTGCACTTATTGCCCAGAAGTACAAAATTTCGAACTCACCTGCTTCCTGAGCTCCCTCGCAAACGCTGATCGTCCAGTATGATGCTGTGAAAGACGGAACAAGAAAATGAGACGGGCTCTGAAAACAATCGTTTATGAAAACTTCATAACACATGATACTTGCGAAACTTTGAGACAGTGACAAATAAACACGCATTGTCCTCCTTTAGAAGAATAAAATGCAAAAAGTTGTCCTGTTTTTTTTTCTTAGAAGATCATCAAAGTTTCGGTCTTGAACCTAATCAGTTAATATTCACTGTGCATGCGCCAAAACAGAAATTTTACGCGCTTACAGTGATGTAACCTCTGAATTTCTGATCGGCAGTGTTGTCCGGATCAACATTTTTGGGGCTGAAAAAGAAAAGAAAGTAGTCCGTTAGCAACGCGTAAATTGTTATTTTTGTGACCCTTTCAATCGAACGTTTGTCCGAACATTGACTTATAGTGGCCAAAAAGTATATTTAGTATTTACTTAATCTATTTACTTTATTCTC